CTGTAATTGTTTGCAGCCCTGGAGTACAGAAATGGGCGGGGGGGGGGCAGTCTGAATGGCAGGGCACGTGTGAAGTTCATACTTCCGCACTTACCTTCACGGGTGCTGCGACCAAGATGCAACCATTCTCTGCTCTTAGATTTAAGTTTTGCACAATCTTCTATTCTGGGAAGGAAACCTGAGGCCTTCCAGATATGATCTCATTGCAGCTTGTACGGTCCTTGACATGCCGGCTGGGGCTGGTGGGAGCTGCAATACCACTCAATGAAAACAGCAACTAGTATTAAAGCCAGCAGACCTGGATACTCTGGGAAAGTCCACGAAAACAGGGTGTCTGTTTTCGGAGCCTTCCTGAAAACCTACAAAGAAAGCATTCGGTGACTCACACCTGCCAAGGAGGTTGATTCTAGAGAGTTAAAAATATCAGTGAGGAGAGTCAGTAAGGAGTAAATATTGCGAAGGCAGCGTCCCGGACAACTGGAGCTCCTGTGCTTGTTATGGGTGCAAAAACCAAGGTCAACAAAAAGTGGATGCTTATCTTGGATCTTGAGGCTCAGTTCAAGTCATATTAATATCATTTCCCATTCTAGGCTGGAGATCTGCAAATCAGCAAAATCCAAGCCCACTGACGTTCTTCTGTCGCAAAGTTTGTTCCATTTTGAGCTTTGCCTTGTTTTTTTCTCAGGAAAATCTGTGCGTATATTCATGTGATTTTTTTTGAATTTGTGCTATAATCCTGCAGATCTTTGAAAGGTATGCATTTTTCTCCATTGATTCAAGAATATGTGCAAAAGCATTTTTCCATAAGTGTGCATTTCAATGCACCTTTTAAAATGCACAAATGCCATCGAATGCTGTTCTTTTGGCTCAGGAATCACACTGCGAGCTCAGAAATTTAGGGACTGCAACTGCAGATGGTGGTGACTGCTTGTGCTTGGATTAGGAGATGCGAATGGGGTAAATCCTGACCAAAACTAAACTAAAATCCATGTCTCATCCATCTTGTTTCTTCACACATCCAATTGCAACTCCTGCGTGTGAGTGCCCTCTTGTGGCCACATCCCATAAAGCACTTGATTGCAAGGGCCTCAGCCAGCAGCTCCCATCAGCCCCAGTCAGTGGTGAGGGCTGATTTGTTGCTGCGCCCTGATCTAGACAGCAATGTAGTTCATCCCCGCTCTGTTGGAAACCCTTAATCGGAGAGATGCATAATTTCTCTTTCTGTTTCGCATGCTGCTAAAGATCCTCACAACTCACACACCGCAAGTGTAAAGGACTAGGATTACACAGCTATAGAACTAGAAGGGGCTCTGGAAGTCATGGAGTCCCAGTGCAGGAATCTCGCAGCAACGGCATCTCTGCTTAAATACTTCCACCCAAGGAAATCCGATTTGGTCCATTGCTGAACAGCTTCTTCCAGCACTACCTAATCATGTTCAGCAGAAATAGCTTCTCTTTTGTTTCCACCTGTTGGTGCTAGCCCTGTTCTCTAGAGCAACAGAAAACAAGTCCTCTCCCTTCAGACATTGACGGCTTCTCTCATGTCTTCTCTTAGTCTTTCTTCTCCAGGCTAACACATCTAGCACCCTAAATCTTTTTCCCATGGGAGTTGGTGTTGAGCTGCTCAGATCTTAGTTCCCTTCTGCTTCATGTGTGCCCAGAAAAAAGCAGCTGAAACTACCTAAAGGATCCTTTTTGGAATGCCAAAAAGTTTGGAGCTTTTTAGGTTAGAACAGGCAATGGCTAAAGGGGGATGCGATAGAACTTTCCTAATATTTCCTAAAGTAAGACTTTCCTAATATTTAAATTTGCAGATTATCAGACTTCAAGCTAGAATGATCTGTCCCTCTTTAGCTGAAAGCTGGATTATTATTATTATTATTACTATTATTATTATTATTACATTTCTATGCCGCCCCTTGCCTAAGCCTCGGGGCGGCTTACAACACAATAAAATACATTGAAATACAATAGAACATAATAAATTACCATTAAATACAAAAATACAAAAAATATACTGAGTTACAAACATAATAATATAAAATTAAAATCATCAGTATAAAATAAGTAAATAAATAATATAGGAGGAGAAAAGAGAAGGAAGAAAAAAGTTGCCCTGGCCAGATCATATATTTTAACAATTAAAATGATGTTTAAATAAAAAGGTCTTTACCTGGCGCCGAAAAACCAGTAACGACGGTGCCAGGCGGACCTCTTTGGAGAGTGAATTCCATAGGTTGGGCGCCACCGCAGAGAAAGCCCTCCTCCGAGTACTTACTCTCCTAATTTCTTTCATGGAGGGTTCCTGGAGAAGGGCCTCTCCCGCAGATCTCAAGGGGTGGTCGGGCATATACGGACGTAAGCGCTCGTTCAGGTAGCCAGGATGAGAAGTGAGAGATGGAGAGGCTGGAGGGGAAGGAGTTGTGAGTAGGATATGGCAGAGAGGGGAGGGAGGGAGAAGGAGGTGAGAAAATGCGGTGGACTGCTTGCTTTCGCCTCTGGCTTGGCCCACGGCTGGCATCAGCCCCACCAGTAGCTGGCAGAAATGCAGCCCTGGTCCAGGGAAATGAGGTTCATCACCGAAAATAAAGATTTCCCAGTCCCACCGCTGTTGTAAAAGTTTTGAAGAAAGCGGATGAGGTTATTTTCTCTCTCCCTGTAGATGATTCAAGAAATCGGCAGCTCCAACTCTCCGCTTCAAGGGATATTAAATCCATAGGCGTAATTCACCAGCACACAGTGTTGTCTGTGACATGAAAAAACCAGCAAGATTAGATGATCCAACTGGGGACAAGAAAACCAGTAGGATTCCCCGATCTGCTTTCGTTTCTGTAAATGAAACACCCCAGGGAAATGTGGCAACCCCACATCGTAGGAAAGGAAGGCTGCCAATACGCTCTCGTAACTTGGAGGCTGTTGGGAAAAGACAGGAAAAGGGGAATAATCACACATGCTTTCGAGGGAGATATTCTGGGGATGAGGCTGTTCTCTTCTTCCATGCTCTGGGGAAGATATAATGGCTGCTTTCCTAGGGCGGCAAATTTTCACGAGCCAGTCATAAAGGCCCCCCCCTTTTTCCCCTTCTATGAGGAATGCAAGGCCTGACTCAGAAACAAGCCACAGCGCAGGGTGTGGCGGCTGCGAGAGTCGCTGCTGGGCTGGAAATTGCTGCTTGAAAGGGGCTGGCCCAGAGTTGTAGCACTGCCGCTGCCTCTTCCGCGTTTCCTTCGGCTCTGTGCAGGCCAGATCAGAAAGCAAAGAAGGAAACGCCAGCAGGCGGGTGGGTATTTCTAATCCTTTTCTTTTTGCCCTGCTCTGATGCTGGGTTTCCCCATGGAGGGCAGTCACCTCTGCAGGGATGTTGTCCCGAGGTGGCCTCAGACACAGTGCATGCTCTGATCTGTTGCTGACATTTCTGTCTCTGCAAAGATCTGTTGCGTACGTTGCATATCTTCCCCTCTGGATTTGTACGCTAATCCATTTAATAACTCGCAAAAAGCCCTCGCTGTGTATCTTGAGGGAGCAATGAGGATGATAAAAAGCGTGAGTGAGATACCTTGCCCGCTAGCCGCCTCCCAGATACTGTGGACTTAGTCTCCAGCTGGTAACTTTTTAACCTGGGTGAGGGGGAGGTCTGGAGGCAGCCCGGGCTGAGTCTGCGTGGACCCAGAGGGACAACTGGTGGACGGGATCTGGGAGCAGGGAAGAGCAAGATGGAGGGTGTGTGGGTGTTGGGGCAAGGACCCCAGGGGAGCAGGGATGGGGTGGCATCGGAGCGCTCTGGCGGTGTGGAGAGGGCAGAGAACGGTCTTGGCTGAGAGGCAGTGCAGTGGTTCCCAGGTGCGTTGTGGATTCCCAGTTCCCAGCCTCAGCCTAGATTTCTTGGGTTTCCCTGCAGGGATCACCTCGATTCTGCCAGACGACATGGCCACCCTCACCCAGGAGCTGGGCACCGCTTTCTTCCAGAGGCAGCAGCTGCCGGCCTCCATGGCCGACACCTTTCTGGAGCACATGTGCCTTCTGGACATTGATTCGGAGCCGATTGCCGCACGCAGCACCGGCATCGTCTGCACCATCGGTAGGCTTGGGAATTCATGGCTGAGGGAGGTTGGTTGCCCCCTTTCTGTTGCCTGTCCTTCATCAGGGAAATAACCTGGGAAGCCTTTGTGATATAAGCTGGTCTCTTGCCAAAGGCAGTTCTAGGGCGTGAGTCTCACTTCTTCCTCTGGAGCCCTGAATCTCCAGGAAGCCAACTTGCCATTCAGGGGCACTTGCTGGAATAAAGGTCCAGACCCCTTCAATCTCTTCTCCTTTGGGTCCTGAATTAGATCACTTTTGGCCCACATCTGCTTCCTCCTCCTGTTGCCCCCCCCCCACCCCATCCCTGAATCTTTCTTCTTTTTTTTCCACCTCAAAACCAGATGTTCTCTCCTGCCCTGTCATAACTCCCTTTTTACAAAATACAGCATCCTTTAAGGACACACACACAGACCAGCTTGATCTCTGGACCTTTCTGCCCCCTTTATGGGAAATTTCAGGAAAGCAGAGCATTGTGTGCTCAGCTTAGAGGGACAGGTCTGTGCGCTTGTTAGGATTCATACCAATGCAGCATCAACAAGGAAACATCCATCTGTGCAATGCTCATTTGTAGGCGGGGGTGCACTTCAAATGTATTCTTTATGGTGGGGATGTCATGAGCAGAGCCGGCTGGAGCCGGGGGCCAGACTAGATGACCCAGGAGATCCCTTCTGACTTGCTCTATTTCTATGTTTATCATCTTAACAGAGATACAGCAGGTCTCCTCAGAGAGCACCCCCTCAGGGCTTGGACTTTTTAAGGCACACAACAGGAAACCCCACAGGGGAGGGTCAGCTTGGCTCTCCACTCTGCCCTGAAGAATTAATGCTCCTTCCTGCTTCCAGGTCCCGCTTCCCGTTCAGTGGAGATGCTGCGCGAGATGATTAAGGCCGGGATGAACATCGCACGCTTGAACTTTTCTCATGGTTCTCACAAGGTATCTGGGGAGCATCTCCTTCCAAAAGGGACACGGGGTCTTCTCTGGGGTCACATGGGAGGACTGAATGTCAAACAATATGAAGAGTTTTGCATTAAAGTCTAGCAGAAATCAGGGATGTCCTTGTGCTAAGATTGAACACCAGCTGAAGCGGTTCAGGGAGCAGTGCTGTGATGTTCTCCCAGCGACCTCAGTGTTGCTCTCAAACAATTGTGGAGCACTCCACAGATGCTAACAATGGGTAACCCATTAGTTCAGTAGAACAAAGAGGGAAAGAGCCAGTGTGGCGTAGTGGTGAAGAGCCTGGGACTGGGACTCAGGCGATCCGGGTTCGAGTCCCCACTTGGCCATGGAGCCAATTGGGTGACTCTGGGCCAGTCACAGCCTCTCAGCCCAACCTACCTCACAGGGTTGTTGTTGTGGGGATAAGATGGAAGCAGAGAGATGATGTCGGCTGCCTTGAGCCCTTTGTAGGAAAAAGGCAGGATATAAATTGGGGAAAAAATGTTAGAATATGTCAGACAGGACTACAGGGGGTGGGTAGTTTAGGGGGAGTGGATGAACTCCTAAAAGCCTTTCTAAGAGAGGGGTCCACAGGAGGGACTGATACCTGGACCAGATTGTTGCTGTTGTTGTTAGTCATGAAGTCGTGTCCGACCCATCATGACCCCATGGACAACATTCCTCCAGGCCTTCCTGTCCTCCACCATCCCCGGGAGTCCACCTAAGCTCACACCAACTGCTTCAGTGACTCCGTCCAGCCACCTCATCCTCTGTCGTCCCCTTCTTCTTTTGCCATCTACTGTTCCCAGCATCAGGCTCTTCTCCAGGGAGTCCTTCCTTCTCATTAGGTGGCCAAAGTATTTGAGCTTCATCTTCAGCATCTGGCCTTCTCAAGAGCAGTCAGGGTTGATCTCCTCTAGGACTGACCGGTTGGATCGCCTTGCAGTCCAAGGGACTCACAAGACCAGATTGGAGTTATCTAGCTGTGCCTGCAGCTGCTTTGTTTTCTTTTCCTGGGTTGTTTAAAATCACTATTTCCTGGGCAGAATCAAATCTCATCTTTCACACCCTGGTTTCTTTTCTCCTCGCTTTCAGTACCACGCAGGATCCATTGTGAATATCCGGGAAGCCACCCAAAGCTTTGCCTCCAACCCTCTCTTCTATCGTCCTGTGGCCATTGCGCTGGACACCAAGGGCCCCGAGATTCGCACCGGCCTGGTCAAGGGGGTAAGATTGAGACAACTTTAGAACTGCCATCGGATCAAAGCAATCTTTATCTAGCACATCATTTTTAACTAGATCTTCCTAGTTTTATGGAGCTTGTGCTCTCCAGTTGTGCTCAGTGTGAGCTGCCATAATAGATGGGAATCATTCCTGGGGTAAGAGCTGTCGCTTAGCAGTAACGCCCCTGCTTGGCATGCCGAAGGTCACCATTTTGATCCCTGGCATCCCAGTTAAGTCTGAGAAAGACCTGCCCCCCCGCCCATCTGCAACCTTGGGGTTATGGGAGTTGTAGTTCCATACATTGGAAAGGCTGGAGCTTTTGTGTACAACTCCAGGACTAATTTTGCAAGGGACAGCTGCTCTCGACACACATACTCATGCGTCCCTTGCCCCCCATCTCCCATCAACCCCAGACAGAGCAGCCAGTGGTCAGTGATGATGGGAGCTATAGTCCCGCGACATCTGGAAAGTGGCTGATCTCCCACTGCTGCTGCAAGGAGTAGGTGCACCTGTCCTGGAGGGCACCGCGCCTGGGGAGGCATCTTCCTAAAGCACGTGAGGAAGCCACGCTGGAGAATGGGAACGGCACGGCATCAGGGTGCTGCTTTTGCATGCACGAGGCTTGGGTTCAAGGCCTGGGACAGACCCCTGGCTGGAGACCCTGGGGATCGTGCTGAAGGATGACCGGACCGGCTCAGCTGAAGCACCTTTTTGTGTAGGCCCTGGTGGTTGGCGCCACGTGTGATTTATAAGCGCTCGGCATTTTTTCTTTTTTAAAAGAAGTGCACCATCCAGTTAAGCAGGGGGCAATCAGAAGGTTTTTGTTTGATTTGCCTCAGCAACTGATAAGCGGCAAGCTTCCCCCTTGTAATGCAACACCCTTCTGTGGCCTGGCTCTGCCTCCTACAGGGTGAGGACAAAGAGGTAGAGCTGGTGAAAGGAGCGCAGCTGATCGTCACCACGGACCCCGCCTTCAAGGAGAGTTGCGACCAGCACAGCATCTGGGTGGATTATGCCAATTTGCCCAAAGTGGTCAAAGTTGGCGGCCGGATCTTCATCGACGACGGCCTCATCTCCCTATTGGTCAAGGAAATCCGTACGTAGCCTCTTTCTTCCCCTGGGAAGGCCCCTTTGCCCACCTGCCCTCCATATGGGGTACCCTCCTCCACCTTGCTTCCTAGTGTGCTGTAGTGGTTGCACTGGGACTCCGAAGAACCGGGTTCTAATCGATGCTCAGCTTGGCTGCCTTGGAGCCAGTTACTGACCTACCTCACAGGGTTGTTGTAAGTATAAAATGAAGAAGACTATGCCAGCTATCTTGAATTCCTTGCAAGAGAAGAAAGAGGATATAAATAGTATAAAGCTGGTGCCCCATGTAGCTCTCACCACCCCGGACAGCACAAAAGGGTTACAAAGCCAATTCCATCTACTGGACATGGGACTTGTTCTTGGAAATGGCAGCTGAAGTTATGAAGGTCTTTCCAGCTCTCTTGGAAGGGCATCTCCTATTTTAGTGTTCCCTCCTTCCTTACTTCTTTGAGTCATCCTTTCTCCTGCCTCATTTTATCAAGAGACTTGCTTTTATTGGGTTTCTATCTGGTCATTTTCTCCTCTTGCAATGAACTCAGGGCAGTATCAAAGGGCTACCAGAACTGTTGTGGACTTTTGACTCCCCGATTTGAATGAGTCAGATGACATCCATGAGTGGAAAAGAGGAGGAGGAGTGGATGTGGGAATACACAGAGCCTCATCTATGTGTGTGTGGGGGGGGGGGGGGGGGGGGGGAGATAATATCTTCAGATGTAATTGATGTAGTCATATGTATTCGCACCTCTTTTTTCTTTCTATGGCTTTATTTGTTATATTCCTTGCAAAGTATCTAAGGCAGTTTGCATCACCCACCTCCTCCTTTCCATTTTATCCTCATAACTCTGTGAGGTAGATTAGGCTGAGAGTCTAAGACTAGCCCAGAGTCACCCAGAGAGTTTCATGGCCCAAGTGGTGGCTAGAACCCAGGTCTCCTGAGCCTCAGTCCTGTACTTGAACCACTACACCCCACTGGTTCTCAAAGTTTGCTTGAAATTTTAAATTAAAATTTTGAAGCCAGAAAAAAAGCACTCAAAATTTATATGGCCCTTTAAGCATCCCCCCCCCCCAAACACCCCTTTTCCCAGCTACAGCTGATGCAATACTTATGAAATGTGCTTCCCAGAGAGGTCCGCCTGGCACCATCATTATTTGTTTTTCGGCGCCAGGCCGAGACCTTTTTATTTAAACAATATTTTAATAACTGTTAATATTATTTATTGGTTTTAATTTCTATAGCCAGGGTGAATCCAGATTTTATATGTATTATTTATATGATTGTTTGTTTATTATGTTGGAAGCTGTCCCGAGGCTTATGTGAATGGGACGGCATACAAAAACTCCAAACAAACAAACAAATGGCTTTCCTCCCAAACCGACAGGTGCCAACAGCTGCGTGGTGGAAGTGGAGAACGGCGGGATGCTATGCAGCCGCAAAGGGGTCAACTTGCCCGGGGCCGAGGTCGACCTGCCGGCGGTGTCCAAGCGGGACATCCAGGACCTGCAGTTTGGAGTGGAGCAGGGTGTCGACATCGTCTTCGCCTCCTTCATCCGCAAGGCCAGCGATGTGGCGGCCATCCGGCAGGTGCTGGGAGAGCGAGGCCGTGCCATCAAGATCATCAGCAAGATTGAAAACCACGAGGGGGTCAAAAGGTAAGGCTTTCTCTGCTTTGCTTTGCTTTGCATGCTCGCCGGACCCCGGCTCTGATCCAGAGGCCTGGATGTGTGGTGTTCAGGCAGGAGGCCCCCAGTTTCTCCCCTCGGATCTTCCTTATCTCCACGGCTGTTACCTAACACTTGGGGAAGCAGCCTCTGTGGATATTCTGCACAGCCCTTAATTCCCATAGACCAGTGGTGGCGAACCTACGGCACGCGCGGGCACACAGAGTCCTCCCTGTCGGCATGTAAGCCAAGCCACCCCAGCAGCCAAGCACCGGATAACAGCGCACACAGGGGCCGTGCGCGTGCTCGGAAAGGAGTAGCGGCGCCAGGCGATGAGGTCACAAGCCGCAACTCATTAGCCTCAACTCGTCCGAGCTTTCGCATGGCCGGTCAGTGCGCTGCCAAGGATAGATGTAGATGTGTAGGTAAAGATATATAGATATATCTATATACAGTATCTATATTTGCTTGGGCATATTTGCTTGGACTGGCTGTGAGTCGTTTTTCCTAAACTAAAACCTCAGTTTTCAGGTTTGATGGCAGTGTTGGCACTTTGCGATAAATAAGTGGGTTTTGGGTTGCAATTTGGGCACTCGGTCTCTAAAATTTTCGCCATCGCTGCTATAGACCATCCTTTCCCAAGCTGATGCTCTCCAGATATTTGGAGTGAGAAACTTAAGTGTCCCCAGTCACCCCTGAATATCTTTTAATCAAGCTGGGGTGCCACCATGTGAGAAGCCCGATCTCTCTGTCTGGGAAACTCTTCGCTTGTAAAGACCTTGAGTTCGGCCCTGGGGCAACCTCTGTCCCTTCTGGGCAGGTTTGACGAGATCCTGGAGGCCAGTGACGGCATCATGGTGGCACGTGGAGACTTGGGCATCGAAATCCCTGCGGAGAAGGTCTTCCTGGCTCAGAAGATGATGATCGGCCGTTGCAACCGTGCCGGGAAACCTGTTATTTGTGCCACCCAGGTGAGCTATGGAGAGCCAGGGAATGCCCACCGACCCCAGACTGCTCAGGCTGCATGTGAAAGGCCCACAAGAAGGGAAAGGGGGCAGCCTAAATTTGATTGCTCCCCATTTTGCACTCGGAAGCTGATCCCCGGATTTTTGTTAACAGGTCAAGAGCTTCTCTCCACAAGGCATTTATTATGTCCTTGTGATTCTTCACTCAGAGACGAGAGTAACAAATAAATAGAGAAATAATTGTTTACGGGTGCTTTGCACAAAGTTGGCATCCTCTGGGGCTTCTCCCATGCTTTGCAACCGTTTCTGTGGGATTTTTTAGGATCTGGAAATGGTGGAATTAACTGAATGAGGAGATTCTGTATCGTTGCAAATCTGCTCTACCACTTTGCCACCTCGTGATCACATCTTGGCACACACAGAAAGGCAGAGGAAAAGCCCCTTGGCAAAGGGACTCCTCTTAATCCCGCAAAGAATAGAAACATAGAAATAGAATCTGGAAGCAGGAGGCTTGGTAGCACGGCCATCTCGGCTAGCATAAAGGAGCCCCCTCTTACTGATTATTCATTGAGAGCAAGGATGCAGAACCCCCTTTGGGGCTTCATTCCAGAGGTGGGTGCGGCTTAAAGCAGGAGAGGAGGGGCCCAAACCCATCTTGTTTTCGCTTAACAGCATTCCACCAACTCACTCCTAAGTGAGTGTACAAGTCTGGTACAAGTCAGTCTTGTACCAGAAGGAGAAAACTTCCTGGGTCTGAAGGGGCCCGGCCTGCGGAAGAGGCGTGGCCCTTTGGGATGCCCCGGTGGGCTACTCTGGGGCCCCAGGCAGCCTTCCGAGGGCTCTGAGAAGTCTGGCGCCTCTGCATCAGAGCCATCAAGGGTCCGCAGAAGAACATCTGCTCTGAGGAGTTTGAAGTCTTGTTCCCGCTTCTGTCCCTGACAGATGCTGGAGAGCATGATCAAGAAGCCCCGTCCCACCAGAGCGGAGAGCAGCGACGTGGCCAACGCAGTGCTGGACGGAGCCGACTGCATCATGCTGTCCGGGGAGACCGCCAAGGGCATCTACCCCGTGGAAGCCGTGCGGATGCAACACGCGGTACGTTTCCGGCGCTGAACTGAAAGCGACCGAATAGAATGACAGGTTGCAGTGGAAACACTGGGCAGGGAAATAACACATCTCTTTGATGATTGTTGGCCATCGTTATTTTTAAAGTGGGAGCCGCAAAAGAATGTTGTCAGGCAGACTGCTCCTGGTTAGGGTGCTCTCCAGCCCGCCATGCCCTCCTCGAGCATACTCCATTCCATCCCGGCTGTCAGCGTTCCATTTCTCTTTCCAGCAAATATTCTCTGCCCCATGGCTGCCCAGCACAACAGCACCCATGTTCCCCAGCAATGGGCATACCTGAACATACTGTCTTATGGAGGCTTATAACAACCAGGACTAGTAACCATGGATAGCCTTCTCCTCTTCCGCGGATGTGTCCACCCCGCTTCTGTAACTTGGTGGCCCTCATTGCATCTTGGGATATAATGCAAAGGATGCTGGGAAGGGCTCTCCTTGAACGACCGAATCTGAGAACCGTGTGTGGGGATGGAAACGGCTAGGCGTGCTTTTTTGCCAGTGACTGATGGAGGTGTCTGCAAATTTGGGACTCTCCTTGGGGCTACGGACAGTCATGGCGAGAACCTGTCCTTCCGCGCTGACCGCCACCCCACCACTGCCCACAGATTGCCCGGGAAGCCGAAGCGGCCATGTTCCACCAGCAACTCTTCCAGGAGCTGCGCCGCCTGACCCCGCTGAGCCAGGACCCCACCGAGGTGACGGCCATCGGCGCCGTGGAGGCCTCGTTCAAATGCTGCGCTGCCGCAATTATCGTCCTTACAACCTCCGGCAGGTAAGGGCCATGGCAAAGAGGTATTGGGGCTGACCAGTCTCTGCACCCAGCAGCTGGCCCGTGATGAAGGTGAAGCTGAGCTACAATTCCCATCATCCCCCTGCCATGGCTCAAGTCGATGCAAGTTCAGTCTAACCTACCTGCAGGGTGTCAGGTTGGGGGAAGACAGCTATAAAGCACCCATCTTACGAACTGGCCCCGTGTACCTTAATCCAGAGGCAGGAAGGAGCAAAAAAGAATTTGGAATCTACTGGAGTCTACTGGATCTGTGGGAATGGTAGTAAATGCACAAGGGTTTCTGGTTCTCATTTTCTGGCAATAACACCAGGAAAATGAGTCTTCCTACCACCCCTGTCATTTATTTATTTAAAGCATTTCAGCAGAATTATATGGCAGATATGAAGGAAAGGAGAGAAAGATTTTTGTGCCGAAGGGCCAAGAGCATCTTGCATTCTGTTCCGGTGCTCAGAACCATTTCTAGTTTCGAATGCCTTTCTTCCAAGTATGTCTCACACAATTAGAAAGTATGTTCTGCTAGCCCTGACGTTTGCCCACCCAGCCCTTACTGGTGAAGACCAGGTGCTGTGACGTTGCTAAGACTGGGATGAGGCCCTTCAGATCACGCTGGACAACAACTCCCATTATCCCTAAGAGCTATCGGCTATGCTGACCAGGCCTGGTGGGTGCTGTAGTGAAGTCTCATTGTGGCCCCTCCATCTCAGCCGCCTCCTACTGGCATTAAGTGTGTGAGACATGAGATGTGGGCGGTGCCGGGTTCAAATTATGCCTTCGCTTGTCCCAGATCACTGAGGTGGAGAACTCTGGTGTGTAAGATGAAGAATCTTGGCTCTAGAGTGCTCATACATCAGTTATCCTTTCCAGACACATTCTGGATCAAACCCACCCCTAGTGCTTCAGTTCCCCAGCAAACACCCCCACGATATCTCTGTGTTTCTCCCCACTCAGGTCCGCACAGCTGCTCTCTCGCTACCGGCCCCGGGCCCTCATCATCGCCGTGACCCGCAGCGAGCAGGTGGCGCAACAGGTTCACCTCTGCCGCGGTGTCTTCCCAGTCCTGTGGCGTGGCGGCAAGCAGGAGGTGTGGGCTGAGGACGTGGACCACCGCGTGCAATTTGGCACCGAGATCGGTGAGGTTTGCAGAGCTCCAGGTGCCACCCAAACCCTGCCCCAGAACTGTTAATGGTCCCCCCAACAGGGCTCTGGTGCCCTTTTTCACTCTCTGACAGGCAGGTATCCCACAGGTGCAGCCTTCCATCACTGCATCTCCTTGCCAGAAGATACCTGCCAAATTACTGCATCTCAAGCAGCAGCTAAAGGCATTTAGAAGCCAGCCAGAAAAATATTGGCCCTAATTCACCCCTTGTTTTAGCCAAGACCAGTCAGCTCCTGAAGGCTGGAGTTTCTAACATGGTGCCCAGGGACCCCAGTGCCCCTGACAGATGCCTCTCCTGGGGCCCCCTAGGTTCCTTTCCCTCCTGATTTTTTTTTAATTTCTTGTGACTTTTTAGGAATAAAAGCTTTATAACCCTCCTTGTTCTGAAAACCTGGAGACTGGCAAAGTAAAGTCCTTTTATCTTGTAGCGTCGGTGTTTGTGTTCAGAGAATAGCTTCACACTGCAGAGCCCAGAATCCAACCTTTCCCTTGTGCTTGGGGTTTGGGGAAAGTTTCGCTTCTTTCCATCCCCCCAGTTTGACTTCTGTGAAGTCACCCAGAGGAGGGCTTTCTCTGTGGTGGCGCCCCATCTGTGGAATGCGCTCCCCAGAGAGGTCCACCTGGTGCTGTCGTTATTTGTTTTTCGGCGCCAGGCCAAGACCTTTTTATTCAAAAAATATTTTAACAATGTTTAATATTTATAGGTTTTAACTGCACAGCCAGGGTGTGTCCGGGTTTTAATCATATTGTATTATATTTATTTCTGTGAGCCGTCCCGAGGCTATAGAGCAAGGGAAAGGCACACAAAAACTTTAAATAAATAAATAAATTTTTCAAGTGGTCACTTGGTCAAATAAATTTTTCAAAGCCAATTTTTCAAGTGGTCAAGACCCCCCCCCCTTTCCTCACTGCAGCAATTTTGCAAGAAATTTCAGATAAGCTCCCTGAGGCAAAAGGAGGGGAACCTCCTGCATTAAGAATTCCCTCAGCACTTACTGGGTTTAGAATGAATATTTGCGAACAGCACCTTCTGAAGCTCCGTTTCCCACTTCCTCCTCCTCCCCCTCCCCTCTCCCGCTTTGTGCCAACGCCACAGGCCGAGTGCGTGGCTTCCTGCGGTCCGGTGATGTGGTCATTGTGGTGACTGGCTGGAGGCCTGGAGCCGGCTACACCAACATCATGAGAGTACAACAGGTTCCGTGAGGACAGCCGAAGACACGCAACCCGTGAAGAGAGGGGGCTGCATCCTGCCCACAATCGCTGCGTTCTGCTTGCCTTTTGTTGTAACGGTTTGCTCCACCCCTGCTGCGTCCTCCACCTGGTTTTTTTTCCCCAAGTGTTTCAACTTTTTTAAAGAGACCTTTGAAAAGCATAATTCAAAGCAGCTGACTGTCCGCAGGGGCATCTCAGAGATAGGTGTGTGTGCCATCCATCCGCTTGAAAAGAGTTCATGCCTAGCAGAGATAGGCAACCAACTTATACTTGGGACTCTGACTCCCATTAGCCCCAGCCAGCATGGCCAGTGGCCAGAAATGATGGGAGTTGCCATCTAAAATACCTGGAAGATGCCAGGTTGCCTTACCATAGTGTAGAAACTAGCATACACCTCTGCACACACACAACCCATGGGAGAGAAATAAGGAAAGAGTACAATTTTGTCATTTAACCATTTTACCAGCTCAAGCAAAATAGTAGTCAAGATTGTGCAAGCTTTCACATTCTTCTCATCTTTCGGTTGACCTAATAAAGATATTTCACACCAGTAGGGATTCTGGAATTATTTTTCCAGGCAGCATGGCTCCCTTTAGCGACTTTTCTCTAAAATAATAGGTGAGATACTTTCTCGCTGCAGGTAGTCCAGTAAAGGGTCCCAGTTCACTGCATGTGGAATGGGAGAGAAACGACTTGGGCCATTCCTTTCATACAGGGCTGGACAACTTGTGGATGATGGGAGCTGCAGCACAAATTGTCCACCCCTTCTTTGGTACGTGCGCCAGAGAGTGTTTGGCCAGGTTCAGACCTTACGGGCCCAGTCAGCGACAACCCAGTTGCCTCGATCCAGTTAGAGGCCCCTCTTTGCAGGTAAGAATTTGCTTCATACCCCTTCAAGCCACAACCAACACCTTGGGCCAGGGAGAACAACACAAGTAAACAACGGACTTTGTTTGGCTTGTTGAGTGTCGACTGTCCCTCACTTTTCATTGGCTTCTCACTATGTCCACCTTCTCCAAACCCCACGTGCCCTTTCCTACAGCTCTGTCATATCCTGCCCCAGGTATCTTGCTTCCTTAACCTTTAAAAAACCCCACACATTAGCTTTCCCATCTTTTTCTGTTTCTGTACACCCTGCTGCTTTCGTAAGGTGACCGGTGCACAATGTTAGCCACAACCCGGAGAGAGAGAGAGAGAAACATTTGGCATTTGTGTTGTATATATATTCATTTCCTACATGTATGTTCTACCTTTTCTTCCTCCTTTCCACATGCCAACCCTGTGAGGTAGGATAGGTTGAGAATCAGTGGCTGCCTCAAAGTCTTCCACTGAGCTTCCTGGCCAAGCGGGAACTGGAACCCAGATCTTCCCCCTCAGTTGACCAGTCTAACATGTATGCCACAAATGCTGTCTCCAAAGTCAAGAAAAAATATTCTGCATTCTGGTTTAGAGGAAAATGCAATGCTGGAAACCAAATCAGAAAACAAGTATGAAATTGGAAACTTCACAGATCTATAATTGGAAACTTCACAGATCTATAAGGTCACAGATCTATAAAAACATGATACTTCATTCAAATTTAGTTTTACCCAGGGCTTTTTTTGTCATAGAACACACCGGAACGGCATTGCGACACCTTTTTTTGACGGATTTTTCCAAGTGATTGTGAATCGCCCTGTTGGGAGTAGCAGATCGGCAGCAAAAATCATTAAAATGGTGCCTGCGGGCTGCTTGTGTGTTGGCGCTGATTGTGAGGGCGCTGCTCAGCTTGGGATGCTGCTCGGCTTGGGATCGGTCATGTGGTCGCGTGCTGAGTGCTTACTGCCGGCGGCGACCATTGTGTAAAAGTATGACCCCAAGATGTGAGTTCTGGCGCTTTTTTTTTTTTAACACAAAAAAAGCACTGGTTTTACCTTTTCCTGCTGTCCATCCAGAATGGAGACCCTCCAGGGTGGCATCTTTTTCAGCCTCCAGGGTAGAGCTGAGCCTTGTTGCTACTTGGGAGGCATGGAAAGACTACTGCATAGTGGTGATTCGTGTGCTAGCAGAGTAGAAAGCTACCTTATCCAAACATCTCAGTATTGTCCATGCTGACCAGTGGTGAGACTCTGGAATTTCTGCTGGCAGCCTTTCTCAGCCTGTAGAGGTCAGAGGAGTGAACGGGACCTTCAGCATGCAAAGCAGGTACTCCCTCTTTGAGCTATTTTCCTTCTCCTAAAGGCAGGGCAAGATTCTAGTCCTCATGGTTGTGGATGGGATTCTGGGGTCCTGTATGCTAGGAGTGTGCTTCCTGAGTTATGAAAATAACAGTGGGCTCCAGGACAGCCATAATTGGGATGCACAGTTGCTCTTTCTGCCTCCATGATTGAGTTCTCCCCACCTCCAAATGTTTCCTCTTTTGGGAGATGCAGTTTCTGACACCCATCCACAACAGGCACACACTCTTGCTCGTGCTTCCCCACTTTCTTCTGATGACTGCAAATCTGTCCCAGATCTGCTATGATACCCTGATCCCATCTAAATCTTCTTTAATCCATCCCAGAAGTGCAGCCATTAATCTGCAACTCGCAAAGGCCTTCCAGCTTTTGGCTGGAGTTGGGCAGCAGCGCAAGGGCTTTGAAGAGGGGGCAGAAGAGGCGGACTATGATCAGAAAAGGGGGCAGTGTTGGACTCAAACTCTTAAGTCACAGGGAAGTGCATGAAAAAATTGAATTTTGCCGGAGTGTCCAACTTTCCTGTTTCCTGGGAAGCTTCTCCTAATAGCAAACTCGGTTGAACGATGGCAGGACTGTAGACCAAATGGGGCCAGAGAGAAACAAGTGCACACAGAATAGGCACCCCAAGGCTTGCAGAAGTACAAGGACATTTTCTAGTTTATTTATTAATTGGGAAATTTATACGCCGTCCATCACTGTCGTCGCTGGACGGCTTACAGAATATTCTAAATTCTAAACAAAATGAATTAGCTATTCCATGAACTGAGCATAAAACTGACATTTTTAAAATAAATAAATCATATACAATTAGAATTGATTGATGTTAAAATACTGATGAAATAAAAAGGACTTGACCTGGCGCCGAAAAGCATATGATGACAGTGCCAGGCGGACCTCTCTAGGGAGCGCATTCCATAGTTGTGGGTGAGCGGTCGAAGCCTTAGGGGATGTAATCCCCCAAAAGTGCCAATGATGCCTCCTGCGAGTCTGTGGGAGAGCGATCTGAAAAATAGGTGGGGTTATCCTGGAAGAGGACCTGGCAGGGAACTTGACAAGGAGGGCTATATGCCACAGTGTTTGGTCGTAGGTCCCAGGTTTCATGAATAACAGCTGTTGGCCATAGTTGCTCAGGTGTGCGCTCTACCTTTCTTCGGTTTCACTGTTAGCTGCAGTCTACAGATATAACGTTATTGCATATTGTCATTAGGCTCCGAGGAAGCATCCTGGGGAAGGGCATTCCATTAACGGGGCTACAACCTTCTCTTGGGTAGCCAGTGGCCCAGCTTCATTGGATGGTGATTACCAGAAAGGCCACATTCTGGTAATCACAAAACTCATCATTCATTTCATCATGGGCTCACAGCCAGCCTTGGGTGGACAGAAAAACTGAGTGGGTGACACAAACACCCCGAGAGCTCCTTTTAGCTGTGTTGTCTGAGTGTACGTGGAGGATATTTGTGTGTTAGAATTAGGGATGAGTTCCAGGTTAGGAAACACAGGGGTAGAAAGACCTGGATCTGTGTGTAGGTTTAGGGACCTGGAACTATCCTTGATTAAGCAGAAAAAATCAGTGGCCCGTACTGCAGCCCTAAGAGTCCCCTCTCACTGGAATATCTGAATGCATAAGACATACCCCGATGTGGTAGGACCATGAAGAAGTATCAGAGTTAATAAAATGTGCACATCGGGCCTGGAACTAGTCTCAGTAGGGTAGAAAAAATATTAGAGCTAGCAAGAATACCTGAGTGCTTCCTTTGGTTGTGTTATCTGCATGTAGCTAGATCAACCCGCAGGTAGTGCTATGGTTATCTTCGGCTTAAGAGTTAGGCTTAGTAGAACTTGGATCCATGAGTATGTCCAGGGGCCTGGAACTAGCCTTGACCAGGCAGAAAAAAACAGTGGCTACCGAGAACACTCTGAGTGCTGCTTTCAAGGCATCTTATCTGACTAGCGAGGAATTAGATCTGCATGTCAGAGATGATATGGGAGCGGCTCATTCAGCCAGACCGTACTGGCTTCTTTTTTCCCAGGTCCAAGATGAAGAGACCTCAATTTTGCAAGCTGTTGCTGCAGACACTGTGTCCTGGTTGAGTCTCACAGCGCCAAACACCTCAGCTTGAGACGCAGAAGAAAGAGCGCTCCCGATGTCTCTTGAGAGCTTTCCAAAGCCTACTGATGGGTCATTTTTTTAGGAACACCAACATGAGGAATCTCCAAGAACCCATCTCTTAGTAGGAGATGGATACTAAGGGAGAGAATCGGCCAGACTGAAGGAGAAGGGGTTTTTGGATTCTCCACCGAGGAAGAAGGAAGGGGCCAAAACAGAGATACCCTGCTGTGAGACTAAGTTCTAGATCTCTTCCTTCAGACCAGGATGAGAAGATGTTTGTCTCCACAGAACCAGGTAGGCAGAGGAGCATTCAGCTCATCTGAGATTTTCTGTTTCCTTGCCATTCACCACCAAACTGCAACCTTAAGCCCATGTATGATTTTGTGCTTTGAAACTGGCTCTTGTTCCATTCTGTAGCTCTTGTCTGGCTCTTCTTGTTCTTTTGCTGTGTGCAGCAAAACCCAGGCTGTGTATTTTGGGGGTGGAGGGAGGGAGGCTTATGAAGGATGTGCTGTGTTCTTGGTCATGCAATGCGCTAAGCAAAGCCCGCGATCTCTGGAGCAACACTCCCGTAAAGGCACACAAGGGCTTCCAAGAAGCCCAGCACCAAGGTCCCCATTAGGATCCTTGGTCAGATAACCCTGAGAGTCTCTGGGGACTCGGCCTACTGGGAATGATTTGCTCTCAGCAGTGGCGACCCATACCAGTAGGTACCACTCTACCAGAAGTGGGCTCGCAGCTGGGCAACATATTGCCACAATATGGGATGAAATAGCATAATAAGGAATGAGCTACTTTCTGCCAAGGGTTAGCTGGTCCAGAGGTACTTCCTTCATTTTGGAAAACTGAGTTCCATCATTGTGTTCGAAGCAAAGAATGAAGAAAATCAAAGGCAGGTTTGCTCCTCTTCGGGCTGCACAATTTGCAGAAACAAAACTTTCAAAACAAAAACAAAGCAACGTTTTAAAACTTGTGGCAGGCACTTAAAGTTTTTGGCCTGGATTGGGATTGCTGTAAGAACTGAGACATATGAGCAGAAAAGTTTAGGGAAGGGTCATGAAAAGGCACTGATAATTGTGGAAAACCCAGATATTTCTTTTTCATCAGAGCTAATCATCCAAGACTCGGGGGTCGGAAGCCCTGGGCTGCTTCCAAACATTTGAGTTATAGATCTGTTCAGTGTGGGCTTTGCGGTTCAGAGAGTCCTCAGACTAGACACCCTTC